TAAACCTTCTCAAAAATAACGCTTTTCACGTGGCACACACCGTCAATCAAAACTTCCACATTTGTGTCAACAGGAACAGATTGATAGAATGAAGAGAACGAAAACAATATACACCACTGTAGGAGGGTCTAGAGGGGCGTCCAAATTTCATGTAAACTATCAAACTAAAGAGTTCGTTTTTGGACCATTTTGAACCTTTCTCATTGACTAGAGTGGCACCCGCTTGATTAAAAACCCTGGATTTTCATAATAAAATAAACCCAACACGCAATTTTGGCAGCTCAATTTTGTTAACTTTCAGTATTTTCATTCGCCGTGAACACTCTGATCATGTACCTTGCTCGCGAAGTACGGACGTAGTGTTGTCGTCCAGATCTGGTAACATTGGCATTTCGACCTCGTCCTCATTATCAGAGAGACTGGCTTCTGAGTCTGTCTCATATTCGTCTAATTATGGTGGACGGGCTCACCGACTACCACATAAAACAGTCACGAAACAGTCATCCACAAAAGGAGACACCAGGCGTACGATCAACCTTCTTCCTCCACTACTTCGCCAGAAACTTTCTTTACTATTACTATTTCTTTGGTTTGTCAGCGCTTGATAAGTTCACTTTTGTGCAGCTTGGTTCACTGGAAAAACCTGCTGGTGGCAGTGTCCCTGTCTTGTCCCATTGCGTTCTTTTTGGTGGGGTTACTTCTAACTGTCCTTGTCATCCATCTGTTATATAACCATTTGTAATTTTCGTCTAAGTGACACAGAAAAGTATTAGGGGACGAAGTCCAAAAATATATTTGCACAGGTAAAGATTTACTGATGAAATGAAGAAGATGATATCGAAAAAAAATTCATGCAGCTCGACAATTCCCCACTCGACCGTACTGGAGTTACTGTTTACCGTTTGGATGCCCTGAAACAATAACCGATTGATTGGTTATTGTTTAGCCAGTTATGTAGGGGCATCCAATGAGAAAGAGGCAGTCAGTAGTACGGTTTCTGACGGGCACTTGTAAATATCGGCACACATTTTGACCACTCAGAAAAACTGCGGTTAAGATTTTCGTCGGGAGGTAGCTGGTGAGATTTGAAGGATGGCATGTCAAAAATATGGCTTTAAAGGGAGGGGCAAGTCAAAATGTTAGCGCTTGTAAACAGGGGAGTCAACCAAAAAATTCCTTTAAGTTTTGCAGTGACGGCATCTGTAATTATGCAAACATTCTACCAGATTGCCTTTAACGGTGGTCTCTAACGTTCAGAAACTAACTCAAATTTCTCGGGGGAGCATGCCCCACGAACCCCTTCTTTATTATGTGCCCTAGAGCAATTCTACCCCAACTGCTGTCTCATTGCAAAATACAGCCAAAAAATAAATCTCGCGGAAACGATTTTAAATATGGCTTTAAAGGGAGGGGCAAGTCAAAATAGTAGGGCCTGTAAAAAGAGGGGTCAACCAAAAAATTCCTTTCAGTTTCGCCGCGACGGCATCTGTAATTATGCAAACATTCTACCAAATTGCCTTTAACGTTGGTCTCTGACGTTCAGAAACTAACTCAAATTTCTCGGGGGAGCATGCCTCTCGAACCCCTTCTTTATTATGTGCCCTAGAACAATTCTACCCCAACTGCTGTCTCATTGCAAAGTACAGCCAAAAAATAAATCTCGGAGAAACGATTTTAAAGTGGTAGGGCTAAAAAAATCTGGCCAAAACAAATAAGTAATAGGGGTTACTGTTTCGTCGTTTATCATGCATTTGCGCACCATCACGACCATCATATTGACAACCTCAATAACTTCAACCAACCCATTCTCACTTGAAATACATTCGATACAGCAAGTATGTTAAATAAAACAACCCAAGGTTGCTACTTTTTGAAGTTGCTAAATTACTTTCTTGTGGTTCTCCTTGTGTTGGATCTTATCCCTGTTTTCTGACGCCGGTAGATGAAAAAGAACGCTCGTCATGCTCAGCAGAGCTGCTAGCAGGATTTTCGTTTTTAACGGCAAGCAGCCTATAGATAGTTTTCACAGCTTTTTAAAAGGTCTTAGTGTCTCTTGGACAATTACAATTGCTGCCTGACTGTTCTAGTCTTTCATTGTTCCTTCATAAGCTGTATACATGAGTGTTTGTTTTGGAGGCTCGGTTTTCTTGGTTTTACCAAGTGTCGTCTTTACCTCGTCAGCACTGATAGGTCGATCTTTAATAATACAGGCGGCACGTCTATTTAGCTTATCTAGATAAGATTTGCTCCCAACCCCACAACTGTCCAAGACAGACGAACAGTAGTTGAACAATATAGTATTATAGAGCATTAGACAAGATTTGGGAAGAATCTTGCGCACTCGACGAAGAATACCTCATCTAGTTGAGATCTTATTGCCAATATACTCTACATGGTCCTTCCTGGATCGATAGGGTGTGGTCTAGGAGGACCCCAAGTTATTTGAAGTTCTAAACCCTATCTAAGCACGTATTACTGATATCTATCACTAGATCTTCAGCCGCTGCGGTCCTCGGATGAGTACCAACAAACATAATCTTAGTTTTTTCAAGATTAATTATTAGAAATTTCCGTGAAGCCAGCTAAGGGCATCAGTTAGGACACTAGTTAACTGAGTTTGAATTTCACTGACTGACTCTGCGTGCAAAATAATTGAGAGTATAATCAGCGTAAAGCTCGATTAAGATATAGATATAAAGATATAGGCTGGGTCTCAGACAACACCCCATTTGACAAACACTTTGGATGCGCATGGTTAAATAGGATCTAAGCCACTGGACAACAGAGCGATTCATTCCGAATGAAGTTAACTTAACATGATGCTATGGTCTAAAGGGCCGAAGGCCTTACTAAGGTATAGGAATATTAGGCCAGTTAATAGTCGTTTATCAATGTTCTCCAGCAGAGTGTTCGTCACGTGAATGAGGCATGTGGATGTAGTTTAGCTTCTTTGAATGGTATTTTCCACTGACACCTGATTCTTCAGTTAATATTGATAAACCCAAGAAATCGAATGGCTTATTGCCATCGATATTACACACATGCTTTTTCCAATTCAGTTTTAAGCTCCGGAGGACGCCCAAATATCTGTGGTGTTGAATTGTCCTGTCAGTCGCTTCCCACCTATAACGATTTGATATTCCACTCTATGCTTGATCTATAAATTCTAATCTCTGTACAATTATCTGCATTGAATGACATTTGCTATCTCTTTGAACTCAGGTTGTTTAGATCTTTCTGCAAAGCGGATGCGTGTCTAACTTTGTTTCCCTCTGTAGCCGCCGGCGAGTTCGTTAGCGCGAGCAAATTAAAGTTAGTTTTGAAGGAGGAGCTGCGAAGCCGAGCGGTTAATGGGAAGGAAACGCTATTTAATTTCGCCTTCGACCCTTGCTTCTCCGCCTGTAACGCAGGCTGTGAAGGTGCTATCTACTTCATAAAGACGGTCTGTATTGGGTTTTCTAACAACTGACAAAAGGTTTAAAATTTTCACTGACAACTGTCAAATAGCCTCTCTCGTCCTTAGAGGCCTCGTTTTGTTGTAGGGAGGTTGGGAAAGGGAACAAAGAAAGCAAGCGGGAGACGATGGGAAGGGAAAACAGACGAAGAGAGGCTCTCGCCTTTTCCCTCTTCCCATCATTTACCGCGAGCCTACCAATCCTTTTAATTATTTCTATTCAATTTTAATGCAGATGTTTGCAATTGTGACTAATTGAACACGTTAGTGGATAGCCAATAAGTAACCTTCAAATCAGTTGAAATTAGTCTTTTGGCTATTATTTTTGTCTGCCAAATACGCAAACTAGCGAAAGCTGTAAGATCTCTGATGGACCTTATGGTGGCCACATTCTTGACTTTGCCCATGGAATAATAAAGGCGATCGTGAATTTTTATCGTGTCTAATCCCATACGGCGTTTGAGCGACATTGAAGTCAAATAGGTCAATAAAAGATGCCGTAAAGGGCGTCGATTCTCTCAAAAAACACAACCGAATTCTTAGGATCAAAGGAACTTCCCGACAAGCACGGGGGCATACCGCCATGGGCTAAATTATAGGTATGAGCCGCTTTGAAGGGTATAGTTTCCAAGCATTCTAGTCTGGTATCGGGTATAGAATCAGAGTATCGGTTGGTTGAAGATTTTAATCTACCATTAGGGAAACCGGATGATCAAATCGGCAAATTTAAACTTACCCGCAACTCAGTTTACGGTTGAACCTCGATTATCCGGACTCGTTGGGACTTGAGTAAATAGTCCGGATAATCGAGAGTCCGGATAATCGAAAATATGAATATTAACGAGACAATAATGTAAACATAGGGAATAAAGAAAACCAAATATAATTGTGAATTAGTCCCTACTTGGATTTATGTACGGACTGTAAGTATTTATGTATTTTCAATCCTTCGTCTCGACGCTGTTGGTGAATTTCAGAATCTTTTTTCTCTTCGTTTTTGCGTACATGTATATATGAGATCTGCTGCTTGTTGATTTTAAACTCGAGTGATAAATTTGTTCCTTTTTCGCCTTTCTCCAAACGTGAAATAATCGTTTGCTATCCTTTATCGAGAGAACGGACTGCTTTCGTTGCCTAGACATCGCTGTGATTTGAGTTTACGATCGATTGGTCTTGTGATTACATAACCAACGCGGAATCAAGCATGACATTTCCTTAGCCAGATAACAATTGTTTCAAACACACTTTTGGAAGGATTATAATGAACTTTTAATCGTTTCAGTTTTTCAAGACATCTTATTAATATTCATAAAAAAACGGGACCATAAAAAACAAGTCCGTATAATCGAGGTACAGATAATCGACAGGTGGCTATAATTGAGTTAAATGCTGGGTGTAATTAAGCACGACTCTAGAATAGGGTGGGGTTGTTTTAGAAGCTTGGTCTAGTTTAAGATAACAAAACTAGGTCTGGTATAGTCTAAGATTAATTTCCAGCAGGGTCCAAAGTATCGTCCTGTCAGGCACTGAGAAGGACTTATCATTTCGAAGGGAAACCATCAAAGACAAGGCAAGGTTTCTGCCACCAACAGTTTATGTCAATGAACAAAACTATACAAAAGTGCATTTCAGCACTGACGAGGAAATAGATTCGAGCAGTACAAAAAGATCTGGCGAAGTAGTAGAGGAACGAGATTGATCATGCGCCTGATGTCAGTCAGATCTTAAAATTCGTGCCAGTATTGAGAGCGGGTGACAAATTTGTTAGTTGGAGGCGCGACTTATAGGTTACATCGCAACAGAGAGGAAATCTTAAAAATTAGTTTTGTTGCACAGCGCTGCACGTTCTCAACTCGCTTTAGTAGGTCAATTGACTGTGGCGACCATATTTGGGTTGCGTAGCCGAGGTGGCACGGGACGATAAAAAGATAGAGTGTGCGACGCGTTTGGGTGCCCAGAAGCTCAGCGCACAAAGCCAAGGAGTTTCGTAGCTTTCGCACACTGTTCAATCGCTTGTCTGCCCTAGGTAAGGTAGCTTGACACCCAGACAAGAGAAAGACCTTGTCTTGAACGATGGCTTCACACACATATATTTTCTAACGTTGGATGCACTGTAATTGGCTAGTCTATGGTGGTCTTCGTGTCTAATAATTTTATGTATATCAGCATTTTCTAGTTAGGCGAAGCTAAATAAAATAGATGACACCTTTGTGGATGATTGTTCTGTGACTGTTTTACGTGGCCGTTGGTGACGCCCGACGTCCACCATAATTAGATTAACTATGAGACAGACTCGGACGCCGATCTCTTTTATAATAAGGACGGGGTCAGAATGCCAATGTTACCAGATCTGGACGACAACACTACGTACGTACTTCGCAAGGAAGGCACATGATCAGAGTGGCGAATGAAAATACTAAAAGTTAACAAAAATGAGCAACCAAACGTGTGTTCACTTGTTCATTGCAAAACGAAAATGTTGGGTATCTCATTATGAGAAACTACGGATTAAGTGTGCTTTTTTCTTTGCTATAAAAGATTCAAAGAGGGTCATTTTATGAACGAAATTATGTTGTTGGTTAATTATAAAACATCCAATTAAATGAAAACTGACAAATGACGCAAATTTGAACTGACAACTGGCATTTGGACCCCCTTCAGATCCGTAATAAAGGAAAGTATCATCCGAAAACAGGCCTCTATGTAACTGAGCATCGATAAAATCCTTAATTTCGTTGGACAATCTCCAGTATTGTTGCTACAACTCCTTTGAAACGACGTATTGTCAATTAATTTAGTTGAATTCGTAAGGGAAAATCTATTTCAATTAAGAGGAATTGCTTCAATAGTTATATTGAAAAATAATGCAATAAATCAGACGAAACAGTCTGTCTACTTGTTATTTCCAAACGATATAAACTGAAGCTGTTCCAAATTCTTGTCATTGATACATCATTATATGACACGTAGCTCTGTTGTTTCAGGGCTAGGCTGTATTGTGTATCTAGTTCGTTTAGTTTTCAACCGAATCTTGTTAGCTGTTGTGAGCTTCGAGGCCCGATTAAAATGCTTTTTCACCAAGATTCTTTATGCGAACAGCTGCAAGTCTAACTTCATATTTAAGGAATTTCTAGTTCGATTACTGGATCAGCATGATTCAGCCAGGGAAAAGAAAACCAAAACAGCCTATGCATGTTTCTTGTTGGTACTCTTAGGCATTGCTTTAAAGCTGGCTTTTTATAGTCAAACCAGGTCAAGCGTTCCCGTCGCTAACAAACTAATGAATTCATTAATGGAAAAATGATTTCGTTTGTTGATTCAATAATCCATTCATAAAATGAATAATCCAACGGTCAAATTGTACCTCGATTCAATAATCAAATGTTGATTTGGTTTATGAACAAAATCTACCTGTTCTTTATTCTTGTCTGTTGTGTTCAATCGTATTTGCTTCCCTTTTCCTGCCGTTTACGATTGCGTTTTTCATTGCCTTTAATCAAAATAACAGCTAGAATAGACAGACCGCAAACGCAAAGAAACTGACAAAGGCCGAGGATCGAAATCCACCAATCACCGCACATACACTGACCTCAGTTTGACCGTCGTGTTCTCTAAGAGGTCAGGCCTAGGTCTGTTGCACTGATTATTGGCAGCAAACTGACGTACATGTAACAGTTTGTTTGGGTTTGAACTTCAGAACTCGCCAGCACTCGACTCTCAGAAAAAAAAAAAGAGGATAAAACAAAATTCTGAGGTTAACTTGTGGAGAGTGTAATTTTTCAAAAAACAGTAATCGAATCAACATTCGATTATGGAATCGAGGCTAAATATGACTATTGGATTATTCATTTTATGAATGGATTATTGAATCAACAAACGAAATCATTTTTCCGTGAATGAATTCATTAGTTCGTTAGCGACGGGAACGCTTGACCTGGTTTGACTTTAAAATTGCAATGGTATTGGCTTTGAAGAAGTTGATATCTCAGTCTTTCTTGTTATATCCCCCTTGGATATCCAGACGCGAGGTCCCGAGGCTATGGAAGCCTACAACAAAGCTCTTTTGGGTGGGAAAGCATTTATAAATCAAAAGGGTACCAGTTATGATAATTGGGCAGGATCGGACAGGGAAGACCAGTCTAAAGAACTCTCTGAAGGGAGAAAAGTTCAATCCAAAGGAACAGAGCACTGAAGGAATAGAGACTTATCCTGAATACTTTAAGGTTTCAACGGAAATCTGGAGAACCGGTGACAACGACAAAGTGATTGAACCTTTTTCAGAGGCTTGTTTTGACTACCGTATAGCACTGTCGGTATTTGGAGCATTAAAGGATAAGAAGACACATGCGAAAGAAAGAACATCGAGAGGCATCACGTAAGTACTCAGAAGAAAGCACAGAAAGATACACTCTTCCGCGTGCAAACGAAGTCCCAGAACGTATAGCAAAGCTGGTGAAAAAGCTTCTGCTAAATACGAAAAAGAATGATGAAAAGGAGGAGTTATTCTCCATTCTTTGGGACTTTGGTGGACAGTCCGTTTACTATGCTACCCATCCAATCTTCCTGACAGAGAGAGCCATATATATTTTAACTTGTGATCTAAGTCGTGATCCATACCAGAAAGCTAACATTGTTGTGAGAAAAGGGCTGTACAAAAACAAAAAAGACATTTACTGCAACAAGACAAATCTAGAAATCTTGACTTTTGGCTTTCATCAGTTTATTCTTTGGTTGGTCCACATGCTGATGGGCAGAACATATCTGTGTCCTTTGACTCACCCACAATATTATCCCCAGTGTTTTTGGTATGTACTCATGCCGATGAACCTTACTGTAGAAACAGGGATACCAGAGAGTTGGCGCTAAACATCTATGGATTTCTCAAATAGAAGCCTTATAGAAACCATTTGTTTAAGGACGTTTTTGTTGTCGATAACACGAAATCAGGAAGCCAAATTAAAACTAGTGTCCTGAGGTAGCGCGCCTCAGGGAAGAAATAATTTCTGTTGCCCAAAGTCTTCCACAGATGAAGGAGGCCGTTCCATTGAAGTGGTTAAGGTTTGAACATGTTCTCCGTTCTTTACTTAAAAAGCAGTACAAATGGATAGCCATTAATGAAGCAAAGGAAAACTGCAACAGATGAGTGTGCGATCGACGACGATGAGCAATTTCGGACTATGCTTGGTTTTTTGCATGATCAAAAGGTTCTGATTCATTTTAATGAAACACCAGAATTGAACAACATGGTGATCTTAGATCCCTAATGGCTCATTGATATCTTCAAGAAGGTAATCAGTGTTAAACGTTATGAGCCGACAGAATATATCCTTGAACAGTTTTGGCTTAAGCTGCATGAGACTGGAAACTTAGATGAAAGGCTCCTGGTTCACGAGTGGAAATCTTTGATCGATATGTACAGTAAAGAAACCTGTGGGACCCTTATCGCGTTAATGGAAAGATTCAGTCTGCTTTGCCCCTGGCCATCTGACGGAGAACACAAACATTACCTGGTGCCGTCCATGTTAATGTGGCCCCCTCAGGCGACCTCGTTGAGCTCCTTTTCTCTGTGAGAATCCCTTCTCTTTTTGTGAGGTTTGAATTAGGCCGAGTGCCTCCGGGCCTGTTTACACGGCTAGCTCTCCAGTTTTATCAGTTGTGCAACGAAGAGTGGAAGAGCCAGATACAACCCCTGCTGTTCAGGAATTCTGCTCGCTTTCACATCCTTCCTGATCAAGGGGTGTCTGTTATTATCAAACCCTGACCCTTTTTAAGACCAAATCCGTCCATTTTTTTTAACTTTGTTTAATACAAGAGACTGTTTTGTATGACCCTGTTTAAGACTGTAGTCCAAATGCCCTCTTCAAGGAGATATTTTCTTTTAAGATACTATAAAATACAGTAAAAAATGTGGAAAAATATATTTATTTAATTTGTTTGGAGTTATATACAAAAGGATTTTTTTGAGATTACTGACAGAACAAACTTAGATTATTTGAAAATACTTTGCTACACACGTAGACCTCACACCGCCAGAATTCACTCCCTGTTTAAGGCTTCGGGTCTAAATAGACACCCTGTTCAAGACGCTCAATAGTTAAATTATATACCCTGTTTAAGACTCAAGACCCTGAAAACCATACCCTGTTCAACGGCAGATACCCGTATAGGCCAGCGTATGGGCCAAATAAGGGAGTGCCCCCCCCCGGTTTGTTTTCTGCAGTATGAGACCAATTACGGGAAGGTAATGTAAATTCAATTTATTGTTGATGGGTATATTATGAAGGGTGGATACTGCTGGGGTTCCCTGTTTCCAACCACTCGTGTTGGAGTAAGTTTAATCTTCCGTTTTATTGTCTTAAACACTAAAGATCTATGTAACCAAATCAACTTGAAATTATATCAGCTTTCTACTACGACAAGCGAACGGTTCGTCTTATGCATGAAATAACTTTTATTTTTGATGTCTTTTAGCGCGCTTATTATCTTCTACTGGTATTACAGTTACAATTCTTTAAACTGATGCAATATTTGCCCCGCTCAAACTGTTAGAAAAATCTAACTTGAACTCCCAAAAATGACCTGGAAGGACTGAGAATTGCCTTTGAAAGTCAGATTGACATTCAGTTTTCTTTCATGTACCCTCGCGTAGCGTCTTGACATCAACGCTCAATCACCTGGCATTCTCCGTGTATTAATCGAGCTAATCTACTCTACCCTCCATAGTATTCAGAGGTAGAGAAAAATATTTTGTACTAAATTTTTTTGTTTGTTTTTATGCAGAACTTAATAGAAGGTTAGCAGGTAATGTAAATTTCATTTATTGTTGATTGTTATGTTATAAGGGGTGGCTACTGTTCGGTTCCCTGCTTTTTTAACCTTACCTGTTGGAGTAAGTTTATAATCTTCCGTTTTGTTGTCTTAATCACTAAAAATCTATGTGTTGACATCAACACTCAATCACCCGCATTCTCCGTGTATTAATCGAGCTAATCTACTCTACCCTCCATTTTATTCAGAGGTAGAGAAAAATATTTTGTACTAAATGTTATTGTTTGTTTGTTTTTTTTTTGGCAGAAGTTAATAGAGATTCCACAGGTAATGTAAATTTAATTTATTATTGATTGTTATGTTATAAGGGGTGGCTACTGCTTCGGTTCCCTGCTTTTTTAACCTTACCTGTTGAAGTAAGTTTATAATCTTCCGTTTTGTTGTCTTAATCACTAAAAATCTATGTGTTGACATCAACACTCAATCACCCGCATTCTCCGTGTATTAATCGAGCTAATCTACTCTACCCTCCATTTTATTCAGAGGTAGAGAAAAATATTTTGTACTAAATGTTATTGTTTGTTTGTTTTTTTTTTGGCAGAAGTTAATAGAGATTCCACAGGTAAT